GACGAAAGATTTTCTTCTTTTTTTACCGAGCTTAAAATTTACCACCTTTCTTATTATGTTTACAAACTTAAGAGCGGCAGGTGTGCAATATGGAAAAATAGAAATTCCCCAAACTTTGCTCGTATATAGGTCTGGATGAAGGATTTCTAGAAAAAAATACTTTGAGTTCCATTGCATTTTTATTTTACACGAACGGCCGCAAAATCAGTTTGGTGGCTCTCACTTCAGCTTTACGAGGTCCAGACAGTTCATCACTTGAACGTAGTGCGCATATTGTCCATGCATCAACATCGTTGGGTCGTTGGAAAACAGCTGCTCTACTCAATATCAAGTCATATTCATTGAACACACCAGTGAATAAAAAAGAGCCAAATGCCCTTCTATTTACTTGTAACACGACAGCAAAGGTATTTTTCGCTTAACCGCTTTTCTGTCTGTTGGATTGTAGCCTTAATCATCCACAACAAGAGATTCAATGAACAACAAATTTCCATTCTTCAAAATGTCTAAACTCAGCTGTTTACTCGCTACGCACTACGTTTCATCAGATAAAATTGATTAATTAACTGTGACGTTTTATGGCTACTTTCCATTAAGTAGTTACAAGTTCAAAAAAGTTATGAATTTTTATCTGAACAGGAAACCTCTCATTCGTAATTTTTGGATTTCAGGTAAAAAATTCCCTGCAACTTTTCGATTTAAGAATTTTCAACAATTTGCAAAATAAGAATATACATCGAAAAATAGCGTGACACGTAGGTCACGTGGTGACAACCATGTTTATTCATTTCTACAAAATGAATGCAGTCGTAGAAAACGAAAACAACTCCTATCGTATTGCAAGTAAATTTAAGACGCTATTTATAGCATTCAAGCATTTATTATTACCACTTTCGCTCACAAACTGCAAATGATATACAAAGTCGGTCTTTTCTTTTGTGTCACCTTCACCGAAGAGCGAAATTTCTATGAATTTAAAGCCCTCGTATGCATAGCAGCACAAAATCCCAGAAAAACAACCCTACAAACGGTACTTTTATCATTTCCACTTCTCATATTTCAAATAATGAACGTTCATTTCAGTTAGCACATATAAAAAAATGCTTTTGAAGCTACCCTACTTTTCACACGTTAAATAGATAGAAAAATCCGTATTTTATTTTAAATTTAAATAGTGACATGGGAGAGACATTGTTCTACAAATTTGTAAGTTTTTCACTGCTTTTACAAGTACAAACGGGGCCTCCAAAAATGGGCTAAATTCGACCTTTGAATGACGCCAATTATGCGTGAATCGAGTTTTATCAATTTTCTCGAAATGAAAATAATTTTTCAGCAAACTCCATATGTATTGGTTTGTTTTACCTATAGGCCTACGTAATACTAGAATATGAGCTAATTCGATTTTTTGACTGCTTCCGGTTATTTGTGAATTTGTATGATTTTTAGTGCCATCTCTCAATACGAAACGTCTGTCAGGCCAAATTCTTAGCATATTTAAGCCAAACTACCACAAACGATCTCAAAACACAAATGATTTTATTTATAACTTATCGCAATTATGCAACGGTTGTAAAAAGAAACCAGTTGAGGACACTTTTCTCTCAGGTGTGTTATTGAACGACAAAGAACTTTCCTTTATTGGCAATCTTTTAGTTTCATGACACGTAGATTGTTTAAGTTGTACTCTCGATGATTTCAAACAATGCTGTTAATATGATCCCTCTAATCACAATATAGTTTACATTTAAGATAAATTTAGTACCTGGTATCCAGAAATGTTCAAATAACTAATGCTAAATCTAAATACCTGCTCATCATATGCGCTGGCTTAGCTCCATAAATCTATCTCCAAGGATATCATGACATTTTCTTTCACTAAACATTTCTTCTCACACTTACAGTAGAAGGTTTTCTTGCGGGGTCGTCTTGTTGAATATCCACTTCTTCAATCAGCTTCAATTTAGAGTGCATTATGTGTTCACCATGGTCTCGTTCATGTTGTCCCACTTTTGATGACGTCATGGACGCGGAAAAGCGATGATATTGGTGATCAGAGTGGCTAACTTAGTCTCCATCAACTTATCGACTTTGAGGCGTACTGGCTGTCTGCATTTGAAACGTTATTGCTTACATCAGAAGCGACTAGACAAGGAGTCATACGAAAATTCTACTGAGAATTCTAATAGCATGACCCTTCCCCACAATCAAATGCTGTTTTTCATTTGAGCTAGTAATATAAGCTCTTGGAATAATCTGAAAAGTCATTAAATGACAACTGAAAAAGTCTAATAACCAAATTCGAGTACCGAGTAAATAGTTTCCATAGATTCCTATCAAAGTAACAACCCTGTAATATGCTTGGTTTTGTGCAAGCTGATTTCTTAAATAATCATGAAAATTACAATTTCCTTGATTGCGATTGGCCCAAAACACTCCTATTTCCCACTATTTTACTTGCCAGGTTGTTATCGGACTGCTTTTTATGGGGCAGTTTAATAAGACAATTACATCCAAAGTTGTAGTTTAAATCAATATTAAAAAGTTTACGCCTCCTTCGTCGGTCTTTTTATGCAATTTTTCTCTTTCTTTCATAACTTGGCCATTCTCTTCTTCCCGGAAATTGCAATACTATGATTAACTGATAAAAGAATCGTGTCGTCCGATTCGGTCTGCAATCATACTCGTGTGCTTTGTAATGATACGCTTTGTATACTATTACAAAGTTATTCAATTACTTTCTGTTAATTATAGGCTTTTGATGCATCCTGCAATGAAACCATTGATAACACACGTGTAATTGAAGGACTCAGTAAAGATATAGTTTATTAAAATCAGCTACAATATTTTGAACATCCTGCCAAATGAGTAACTATTTATATTCAAGTAATACAAGTATTGTCAGTATTGGCAAAGATGGATTCAATGTTTATATGGATGATCAACATCCAGTGGAATTAGTTTATATTTATAACGTAATAATACAAGAATTGTCCGTCCGAAGATAATAGTTGTAGTCAGTAGTAGTAAAGTAATGCTGTACGAAGCTCTTTCCATTTATAGACATGTATCCCAGACTCCAACACAACACCGAAGCTCTTCTAACAACTCCCGGATGTAAGACGCTTTGGGTCTGTTTTCTACGGTTTCTTCGAAACACAGGTTCATGATTTCATGCAGCTGTGGATAAACCAATTTTAAGTTAGGAGAAAAAAGCTATTTCTTTCAGCTTGAAGAAACAAAATTTGTAACGGCTATGTGGCTTTGAATCATGCAATGTTTTAATATCCAATTCCAAACGCTTGTCGGGATGCTATAGATGCTCTGCTGGTTTACAGAAACGTAGTGCCAC